AAAAAGTCAAACTGGCGTAATGCCTTAGAGAGAGGATACTATTAAGTACCTTGAGTAACAAATATTTCTGTTCAAAATAGAACGCAAGGAACCAGGTTCAGCATAATCTCGTTTTAACGGACTAATTTTGGGGGAGGGGGTGTCCGGTATTGCCGAATGTACGTATTCCTCACAAAAACGTGTAACGGATACTCCAGATTCTAATTTTTAAATAAATTCAAACTTCTGTTTTACACTCACGTTTGTCCTTTTTTTTTCTTGTACATGGTGTATTAATTATAAAAAATTATAGCACAGAACAAGCAAAAAACAACACAGTACAAATTTAATTTGCGATAGATGGTGTCACGCTTCCAGCACGACTGGCGAAGTGCACATACACGACATATGACACAGATTGTTACGGGGAAGTCCCAACACATCAACCGGAGAATAACCGGGAAGTACCGAATTTTGTTAACTAAATCCGAAATCCATTAAATCGAGGATTTACTCTATAAAAAACGACATAGAATATGACAGAATCTCATTTCTGTCTAATGGGTAATTTGTTATGGCTCGAGAAAAACAAAACACATTTTCATTAGCTCCATAAAACCCAGTGATTACTATATGTATCACCTGATCTAATACATTAAAGCTCTGCGTTCTGCCTTCAGACTGTATATGTGTGTTCCGTATGCTTCTCACAGTAAACAGCGATTACTTTCCTAAACAAAATTAACCGGTTGGTTTTTGTAGCGGAGACGATATGTGCTGCCTGTGAGGTACGAACTGAATTCTTATATACTATTCAGAATAAACCGTATCTTCTTCAAATGCGCGTGGTGTGAATTCGTAAGCAGGGCCTTGCTTTTACTTTACTGCAACAGACTACGAGAGTCACAAAGGAGGTTTATACAGGTCTTCAATGGTTAAAGTATCTCAAAGCAGCCGGCTCTATAACAGGCCGTGCAGGCCCGTAGGGTTGTGAGACGTCGAGGCTGCCACATTTTCTAGACAGTCGGCGACATGTTCCTCTGAAATATCGGCTGGATTTAAAACGGACAACATTGGGTTATATCCCAGAAGATAGAACTCTTCATAACCACCGCTGTGAGAACCTCAAATCCTACATGTAAACTCACTCTCACGGAAATAATTCACAAACGCGGATTCGCACATGGAACACGTGACCTCAGAAAGTAACTAGTTTAGAAATAATATGGCTACGTGCGTGGGTCCCTCTTTCAGTTAATGAAGAACAGGAAGCAGGGGAGAATGGATTGATATCACAGGAGCTTAAAAGAAAACGAACAAAATTACGTACTAAACGAGAGCAGCTTCACACCTGTACTGAGACAAGTCTCCTGCTCCAATTAACCGTTTCAATCTCTTCTTTGGTAAATAATACCAGAGTGGTCAAATTTAGTACGATGGTGTGGCACTTATGGGGGGGGGGAGGGAGTAGAAATACCGTGACATGCTTCGTCGGAAAACTTGAACAGACAAACAAAAATTGGGGATGTATGAATAGGTAGCACATCTAACAAAAAAAGGTAAATTTATTCCTGCCCAACGCCATGAAGACCTATAGAGGAGTGCAGGTATAGCTCCGCCATTCTTAACTTCGGCACTAGATGGAGGTGAATGGCCGGCTTCACGCCCAGGCTGCTTTAACCCTATGTGGAGAGCCCTCTGAACCCATTGGATACGAAAGTGAGTGAGCCTCAGTGCCGGTCTGGTCACTGTGGAGCAGAGAAAAATCTCTTGCCGCTACCGGGAACCGATCCCCGTGTCCTCGGCGGTCCAGCCAGTCGCTATACCGACTGAGCTATCCCGACTGACAGATAATATTAAACTAGATTTCAAATACAAAGAATGAAATAAGTGGACAGGATCCTGTTGGATAAGACGAAGTCTAACGAAGGGCTGTTGTGAGCATGGTGATGAACATTTCGAGTTGACTAGAAGGTAGGGTATCTCTCGTCCTGTTGGACGACTATCAACTTCTCATGAAGAACACTGTTCCGATGCTTGAACTCTGTTCATACCTAACACATAAGCATTTCTGCTCAGGGTAGCTCAGTCAGTGCGGTGACTACGTTGCCGGTCGGGTTTCGGTTCCCAGCGACAGCAAAGGTTTTTTTTTCTTTTTGCCACAGCTTCCAGACCGCATCTGACCAATGGACATTGAGGAATCTTTCCGTGGGGGTAAAGAGACAGAGCAGTCAGGTAAATATTTAATCCAATCTTTATGGTTTGCATCATGTTGTGTGTTTGATAATCGTGTAAACTGTGCCATCAACACAACATAAAAGCATCTTCAAAATGAAGGCAATAAATAAAATATTGATTCATATTAAGACAACTCAAGTCAAGAACTTACTTTTAACTCGCTTGATGATATCCTAGAAAAGGTAGAAACATGTAGCGCATATCTTCTCATAATAAATAAACAATAGTGATAGAGTCGTATATATTTTGTCTTCATTTTGAAGTTACTTTTATGTTGTGCTGACGACCCAATTTACACTTTTATTTATTTTTTTTCCCCTTGGCGCTACAGCCCCAGTGGGCCTAGGCCTACCTCCAAGAAGTTCTCTGTTCATTTCGGTTTTTCTATATCTTACACATTCGGTAGGACTCTTTGGGCGGGTGATCAGCTCGTCGAAAGGCCTCTACCTGTACACAAACACAGAAAAACGCACACAAACATCCATGCCCTGAGTGGGATTCGAACCCACGATCCCGGCTTCCGAGCGAGCGAAGACAGTGCATGCCTTAGACCGCTCGGCTACCGTGACCGGCCTACACTTTTATTTAATCTCATTTAATGTCAAAGCTATATTTCCATTCAAATACACGTCATTTGTAACGTGGCGCTTAACAAATCAAGAACAGGGCATCTTTACCGCAAACTACAGGTAAACATGAAGAATGCCGTCTTCTGGAATGTGGCGCCGTGTAAATATTGTGTTAACAGCGCCGCTTCCCAGAAGACAGCATTATTCACCGTCACCGCTGTGGAAATCTCAAATCTTACACACCTAAACACGATGAATTAAATTAAGACGTATATTTAATGGTCCGACATGCACTTCTGTACGAATTTTGACGATCTAAGTTTTGGATGGGGCTGGTGATAATGACGTTACGACTTGGCGCTCTGAGAGAGGCAAAAGAAAAAGGGGGGGAGGGGAGACGTTAGTAGACGCTACCTACCTACTTCCTTCCAACAGAGCTATTTCTAGTGCCATAAGACGTCATAACTACCTCCCCTTCGCCCCAGAACGTCACATGGAGGAATGCTTTATCGAGCCTGCAGTGTAAAAATGTCCCTCATAATTCCCGGAGGACTTGCCGATGATCTGGAGGGACTGCTAGTAATACATTGGGAGCAGGGTCATTCTTGAGAAGCTTACAGTCGTTTTACCACTATAAAGATTCCGCACAATTTATTGAACCCGAAAATTCATTACCGTACTTCTTTTGGCTTATTTTGGACTTCACCCATCGTCTGGTATATAAAAGACAAAAAAAAAACACAACGTTTCGGAGACTGGATCTGTCTCCGTCTTCAGGTGGATAGGGAAGGATAAACTTACTCAGTTGGGCCCCTTAGAAAGAGCTGGTCTCAATCACTGGACAAACCCCGGTCCGTAGAAGAACAACCTATGAACAACCGACAACCGGTTGCATCAGTGGGAGAAAGGAATAAAATCACAGTAAAGGCAGGATAGAAAACGTCGTGGTCTTATGTCTTTTACATATCAGACGATGGATGAAGTCCAAAATAAGCCAAAAGAAGTACAGTATACACCATTGTCAGAATCCTTTCAAGTCTATGTAAAGTATGTAATCAGCGATAGCNTACCGTGTTCACAAAGAGCCCGTCGCCGAACACCACACTGAGCCAGATGTACCCAGTCAACACTATTTTCTTATAACGTATGGTAATACTGTCTTCGTACCTATGCCCGAGCTTTCCAAAGAGTTCCTTTCCTTCAGAACCAAATTTTGCACGCATTTCTGGTCTCTCCCATATTCTACCCATCTCATCCTTCCTGATCTGATCATTCTAGTAATACCTGGAGGAGAGAACAAATCATGAAACTCCTCCTTACGCAATTTTCTCCACCCTCTTATGCCTGTATACTTCTGGGAATTCTTTTCCGCCCTTGGCTACAAGGAAAGCTGACAATGTCATATTTGTATGGTGGTATTCATTGCTTTAGTAGCAGCTCTCCGTGAACATAACCCGCCCATCATAAGGCACTCGATTGCTCCAGTGACGCTTCCATGCAATACAGCGAGGCCCCGGGGCGAGTTCACTGGACTTCTTTTTTAGCCTACTTTTCATATTTTGAAGAAATGACAGGAGGCTTATGCGATCTCCATTTTATCTGCGTAACCCACCTAGCAACTTTTGAATGGCTGAACCAATCTGTATGAAACTTGGCTACCGCAACGTGGTACTTCCTAAACCCCTCCCATCAGTCTGTGTCTATGTGTGTATCCCCCAGCGTTGCTACACAAAAGTTACAGCGGCAACGAATACACACGCAACAATAGAATTGTTGGACGTGTCGCTTTCTATTCGGTCTGTGTCGTATCAAGGAATGAATGAATGCATGAGGGGTAGGCCTTCTCGGCCCTTGCACCGCGACCTACAGTGGTCTATTGTGCTTTCGTATCAAGGAAAGTAGGCGGTTAATTCTTGCCAGAACTTCTTGTTTCATTTTTGTTTCCAAATGACATTCAGCGAAGGTCAAAAGTGGTGAAATTGAAATCACTATTAGAAGATAAGACAGGAAGTTTTGGAAAATATTCATCACCTAATTCCCCTTGATAAGACATGGACCACATGGATAAANNNNAGGTGGGGGGGGGGGGGGGGGGTTGCACACAGCAAGTTGATCCAGTAAGCCTCCTGCTATTTTTTTCAAAATAAGGCAAGTAGGCTGAAAACTAAAAGTTGAAGTAGTTAGACGGTTTTAGGACACAAAGAAAATCTTTACTTAAACACTGAAGTAAATGTGTATTTGCTGAAATATTTATTTCTGTACATATATTAGTTTTTTTCTTTGATTTGTACCAATCACAAGATAGCAAAGTGTTCACATGTCTCTATAATAAAGCTTCAACATAGTGTTACACTTATCATTACACAAAGTGGTAAGTATTATGTAATATTCAACATTGCTCTATACATTTAACGTAAAAAGAGAAGCGGCAGTGACGCAAGCTCGAAACAGTTGTTTGAAGTTAATTACAAAATAATCAAATGTGAAATTGGATTTTGTTTCCAAGTTCTAGTTAAAGGCAATACTGAACGAATATAACCAACGTTTCCTCTAGGGTGAGGATGCGCCTGCGCTACCCGATGTCTTCTGAGCAGCAATTGGTTTGGCCTGGACAACCCGAGGGGGGGGGGACAAAGATTTTCGAAAAATGTCAACATGAGACATTAAATTAATATGCTCCCAAAAATAACCCAAAATTGTACTTTACTTTGAAAGCTTAATTCTTAAAATTCAAATTGACTATTCAGTAAACCAATAAAAGTACGCAGGAGACTGAGGCTCGTGAGCGGGAGTAGCGGCCGCGCACGCGCAGAGCTTAGAGGGATCACTGAATGCCATATTCATCTTTTATTTCTATTTCATGTGATAATATTCGATTTGTATCAATGCTGCATTTAAGTTGTAGGTACCTTATTTGGTTCTTTTTCTGTCGCTGCCTTTTTGAACTATCAATAACATTACTGTGCCATGCTTATGTACCACGTATAATGCAAACATATAGATTTTATGAAGATTTCGGAAAAAAATAAACGCATCAACAGCCACAATTTTAAATATAAATAGGCCCACATAATAATATATTACAAAACACAACATTCAAGTCTGTGAAAGGCGTATTAAGTCACATTGAAAGGAAACACACGGAGAGATCAAACACGAAAGAGAACATTGTCCCACAATCGCTAATGAGTCTTGCTGTAGGAATCCTTATTTTGGTAACCCTGCACGTATCCTGAGCTGTCGGCCATGTCCTTGCGCCCAGCCATTCCTCTGCCCTTACCACTCTCATCAAAACGCTGCTTATGAGCGCCAGTATATCGAGTAGTGTCTGTAAGGCGTTCAATAGCAGAAGACTTGCCTCCACCCTGAAAGAAATTCAGAGGAAATGTGTTACAGTTTCATGCAACTACAGACAATAATACATAAATAATAATAATAAAGTCAGAAACATCATGNCTACGCATAAAGTTAAACCTTTTAAATAAACTAATAATGCTACAAAACCCAGATCTACACTCGGTCAGTCTACTGATTACCCCAATTGATGCCTTTCGTGGTTTTACTCAACTTATAGCCAAATAAGGGGGTAGTCCCTCCACATTGGCTGTATCCATCCTTCACGTATTACAATTTATCATTATTTAATCTTACTGCACATTATACAACTTCTGCAGTTAAAACAGCGTTGCTGAACAGTCTAACGATCAAGTATTGATATGGAAATTTAACAAATTAACATGCATAAAATAATGTTAAATTTAATAAAATTCATTAGTAAGTTTATCGTGGAATGCTTCTATGCGTAAGTTGTCCCTGTACTTAAATAGTCAGGCATTATGCTATGAACACGTATGGATGATTGGTAGTACAGATCAACCTTTCCTGATCTCGGCACTAGATGGGTGTAAGTGGTCAGCTTCAAGACCCTGCCGCTTTACCCCGAGCCGCCGGTTTCCACTAGATAGGACGCTGGGTGGGTCCCAGTGTCGGTCTCGACGGTGTGGAGAAAAGAAAAACCTTGCACGGCCGGGAATCAAGCACGGGCCGACCAGCCCGCAGCCAGTCGCTATACCGAATGAGATGATTGTTTGCATAAAGAGCTCTTATCGTGAATGTCATTTTATATGTCCAATGTTTCATCTCTTTCAGCAAAATTCTGTTACTGAAGTTCTACAGTAAAACTTACAGGAAACAGGAAATTCAGAAAATGTGTGCTCCAGAAGTACAGCTATCTATTCTTGTCTGTTTCTAAATGCGAACATTTTCCTTTCCATTGCACGGCAAGTAACCACCCCCGTGTTTCCAGACGTCTGCTATATAAAATCAGGTTCATATCACGTCCGTCAGAGGGTGGGATTGGTTTATATTACTGCACCATCATATCCAGATCGGTAGCGACGGGCTACGTGCTTGAAGGTCGGGGTTTAGACTCCTGGGAGGGGTAAAATTTTTTTTTACACCGTCTGGACCAAATCTGAGGCCCACCCAGCGCCCTATCCAATGGGTACTGGGGATTCCTTCCCTGGGAGTAAAGCGGCCGGGGCGTGAAGCTGACTACTCACCTCCATTTAGTGCCGAGGCCAAGAATGATGGAGCTATACTTCCACTCCTCAATACGTCTTCATGGTATAGCGCTTAACTAATTAAGCACAGGGAGAAGTTCTTTTTATCAGCACCGATATACAGGAAAGCGCTGATGGTAGGACGATTGGAAGGAATCAGACGTGGCCTGCTGATGTTACTATCCCGCACTTTGCATGGATGAACTAAAGAATACGCGAAAAATGTCAGGATAGTCGACGTTTCGACCTACGTTCGAAACCATTACCTCCCAAATACGAGTCTGGAGTGTACCGCTACGACAACCCGCTCGGTGCCATGGATTGGCGTAGAGGCTGGAATTTTAGGAAAACTGCATCAGTCATATCGACTGCGAGGAGGGGGGGGGGTTGGTAGCTTCAGGGCACAATCTCTGAGTGCCCATGGAGGGTGAGTCACACCTTCGGAATGATTCATGATGAACTCCTCTGTAACCGTGACATCAGCTTCTGTCACTTTTGTCAGTGTGTCAACAGTAACAGGCGAGAGACCTGTGCCCGTCCGGCATACAGACGCAAGCCGTCAAGGCCTGTAAGAATACTTAATGCAGTCAGGAGTGAGTTACACTGGTTGTTGAGGACACCACACACTTGCAGAATGCAGAGCGTAGTTTTTTGTCTGCAATGGAGCCAGAAGAAAGCGTAGCATTCATCTCTCTTGTTTATTTCTACAACGGACGCATAAGAGCATGCCGGAGTGTTCGTCGCGTGTGGTACATGATCATTCGATCAGATCTGACACCTACTGTGCTCTGTGTGTCTTGATTACACCTAACTGCGCGCTGTGTATCGTCGTGACAAATAACACAGGTGAAAAATATATTACCACATTTGACGGTGAAATGTCCCTTGAAAACGAAACGTCACAGGATATAAGATGTATAACATTTTCGTCTTAAAAAAAAAAAAAACAACAAAGACTCGCACTATGGTTAGCTTGAGGGTGAATTTCACTTCAACACACTTCAAAAGGCAGAACCAAACACAACAGGCGCATCACGGTTGGTCACGCTCCATAACCACGACACAAAAGCAGCAGCAGAACATTTCGCGCCTCATAGCTTCATGGCAGCAGAGAACGAAAGAACGAAAAACTGACTATGCGACGAAATAATAATGCTAGTTGTCCAGGGCATATTGCACGCTCACAAACGTAACCTGTACGAAAGAACGAAATACTGACTATGCGACGAAATAATAATGCTAGTTGTCCAGGGCATATTGCACGCTCACAAACGTAACCTGTACGAAAGAACGAAATACTGACTATGCGACGAAATAATAATGCTAGTTGTCCAGGGCATATTGCACGCTCACAAACGTAACCTGTACGAAAGAACGAAATACTGACTATGCAACGAAATAATAATGCTAGTTGTCCAGGGCATATTGCACGCTCACAAACGTAACCTGTACGAAAGAACGAAATACTGACTATGCGACGAAATAATAATGCTAGTTGTCCAGGGCATATTGCACGCTCACAAACGTAACCTGTACGAAAGAACGAAATACTGACTATGCAACGAAATAATAATGCTAGTTGTCCAGGGCATATTGCACGCTCACAAACGTAACCTGTACGAAATAACTTCGTCAGATCCCGAAAAGAAATTTGTCGAAATAATTCTGAAACACAAGTGAAAATTCATTAACAGAAAGCAAATAAGGTGAAACAACAACTGCAAAAGTTTATTGGGCACACGGTAAAATTATTCGTGGCACGGGAGTGGAGGTTTTAACTCTTACGTGTTTATGAACCACAAGGACAACAATTCTAGTATAACTTTCCGGGAGGGCCGTGCCATAGCTCAGACGATTCGTCGCTGGCTTCCCACCGCGGCGGCCCGGGTCGGGTTATGTGGGATTTGAGGTGAACAAAGTGGCAATGGAGTATGTTTTCTCCGACTACTTCGGTTTCACCTGCCAATCTTCATTCCACTGTCTGCTCCACAATCACAAACATCTATGTGTATCATCTGGGACTGGTACAACAGCCCAGTAGTGGTCGCAGTACCAAGTGGACTCAGTCTCGTCCCTCTAAAAAAAATCCGAGACAGCTCAGTCGGTATAAACGACTAGGCTGCTGGCAGGTAACCAAGCGTATTTTTCGTGTTTCAATTTTCCTCCTTTCAGACCTACTCAGAGCCCAGTTTTCACTTCCATACATATATTGTACATAGGAGTTGCTGTTACAAGTTTAATCTGTGCATCATTTCATGAGCGTATGTACCATACGTAAGGGACACGCGGTAGTGCAGTTATCTCAGGTACTATGCTACAAGCCGAAAGGTCGCGGGTTCCAATCCCTATGAAATAATTGGACTTTTTCAATTGATCTAACGCTTCCTGCCGCACTATGGCCCTGGGGTCGACTCAGCCTCTAACAGAAATGAGTACCAGGAATCTTCCTGGAGTAACGTGGGACCGGTGCGTAAGCCTGACAACCTCACCGCCATGTGTGAGCCGATGATCTAGAAAATGAGGGAGCCTCGACATCTTACAACCCTATGGACCCCCACGGCCTGTTACAGGGGTAGCTTTACATTACTTTTTTGCCTTTATGTGCTATAAGTAATGACTGTTGTATCATATAGCTTACTACTGTCGCCCCTGCTCCTCCATCCGTGACTGATTTAACATTGCCTGCATTCCTAGAAGGTGTGTATATGTTCTGATGCAAAAAGAGCATATATACACACGGGACAAACTAAAATCATTATAATCGATAACGTCTTGGATTAGAACCAAATTCCCTTCGAATATCAAATAAAAAGTAAAAAAAAAAAGTAAAGGTATCCATGTAACAGGCCGTGAAGACCCATAGGGTTGTGAGATGTTGAGGTTCCCACATTTTCTAGACAATCGACTCAGAAATGGTAGTAATGTTGTTAACCTTACGCGCCGGCCGCCCTTTACCCCCCAGGAAGATTCCTGGTACTCATTTCTGTTAGAGGCTGAGTCGACCCCAGGGCCATAATGCGGCAGGAAGGATTAAGTAAATGAAAAAAAAATCCAATGACCTCATCGGGACTTGAACCCGCGACCTTCCGGCTTGTAGCATAGTGCCTCAATCAACTACGCTACCGCGTGCCCCCTTTGGATATGAAATAGGAACGGTATTCTTTTTGTACAGAACTATAAGGCTTATTTTGGACTCTATCCATCGTCTGGTATTATAAGACCAAAAACCCACAACGTTTCGGAGACTGCATCTGTCTCCGTCCTCAGGTGGATGGGGCAGGATAGACCTACTAAGTTGGGCCCGTTAGAATGAGCTGAGGACGCAGACAGATCCAGTCTCCGAAACGTTGTGGGTTTTTTGTCTTATATATGCCAGACGATGGATAAAGTCCAAAATAAGCCTTATAGTTCTGTACAGCATACACCATCGTCAGAATCCTTTCAAGGTTTCTTTGGGTCGGGTGAGATTGAGTCCACTTGGTACGTCGGCCACTGTTTGGCTTGTTGTACCAACCCCGGATGATAGATGATGAGTGTGGAGCAGTCGGTGGAATGAGAGTTGGCAGGGGAAACCGAAGTACTCGGAGAAAACCTGTCCCAGAGACACTTTGTCCACCACAAATCCACATGATATGACCTGGGCTCGAACCCGGATCGCCGCGGTGGGTAGCCGGCGACTAACCGTCTGAGCTATGGCACGGCCATAATAGGAACGGTAAGAGTTAGGCCCCGATATCGATCGATTTCAATTTTCTCTGTATGAGATTTCATCCAGTTCATAAATATATGTGGGGGTTGTTCTTACCGAGACTCCTGTAAGGCCTGGAGTTCCACAAGAAGCCATTTTGGATTTAATTTCCTCCACGTCGACTTTCTTGTTCTTAGCCAGATCCTCGAGGAACTTGTTGTAGTCATCAACACCCAACTTCTGTTGTCTGCAACACAAGTAGCAAACCAGACTCTCAACAAACAAGTGAAGTTGCTTCCTAAGCAGTACCGCCACGACGGAAAAAAACCAATATATGCAGGCAAAATTCTATCTATCTATGGCTTTACAGCCATTTGTTGAACCTTGGTCGCTTTAAACAAAAAGGTAAAACTATCCCTGTAACAGGCCGTGAAGGCCCATAGAGTTGTGAGACGTCGAAGCTCCCACATATTCTCTACACAGTCGACTCACAGATGGCGGTAAGATTGTCAGCCTTATGCGCCGGCCGCCCTTTACCCCCCAGGAAGATTCCTGGTACTCATTTCTCTTAGAGGCTGAGTCGACCACAGGGCCATAGTGCGGCTGGAAGGATCAGGTAAATTGAAAAAATCCACCTCATCGGGACTCGATCTCGCGACCTTCCGGCCTGTAGCACACTGCCTCAACCATCTACGCTACCGCGTTCCCGTGGTCGCTTTTTAAGTTTCTTAATCCCATACACAGTCGGTAGGACTCCTTGGAAGTCAGCCGGTCGAAAGACCGCAACCTACATACAGAACAACATAAACACAGAATAAACGTACACAGACATCCATGCTTCAAATGGGATTCGATCCCGCGATCCCAGTGTTCGAGCGAGAGAAGACAGGTCATGCCTTAGACCGCGCGGCCACTGTTATCGGCAGGCAAAGCTCTACCGGTATGCAATCGATGAATTCATTTACAGGATACGAATTCTTTGTCTCTCTTGAGCAATTTGTCGCCACTTACAAGTCAAACAATCAGCGAATTTCGATTACCCAATAAAGACGATGTAGTATTCGAAACGGTCAAGAAGCGGCACGATGGGTTGCAGTTACTGCCTTTTGGAACATTATCCATTGTCCAGTTTTGTTTAAACTAAAGTGACGGAGACCGTCCTAACTCCCGCAGACGGTTCACGTACTTGTGTTTGGTTTAGGAGCACGCGGTAACGTAGTTGGTTGAGGCACTATGCTACAAGCCGGCATGTCGGAGGATCGAGTCCCGATGAGGTTGATTTTTCAAGTTACCTAATCCTTCCAGCCACACTATGGACCTAGAGTCCACTCAGCCTCTAAGAGAAATGGGTACCAGGAATCTTCCTGGGGCCAAAGGGCGGCCGGCGCGTAAGCCTGACAACCTCACCGCCATCTCTGAGCCGTCCGTCTAGAGAAAATGTGGGAGCCCCGACGTCTCATAGCCCTGTGGGCCTTCACGGCCTGTTACAGGGATAACTTTACCTTACCTTGGTTTATATATCCCGCCTTGTGTGTTGATTGGTGTCCGGAGGTTGGGACTAGCTCTATCGATTGGGTCCAACTGAGTAGTCATGTAAACTGGACCGTCAGCACACCATAGATAGGTATCTTCCATAACAAGACATAACAGATACGATTGTATCACTTATTTCTTTATTATGTACAGGAGTATGCTGCATGTTTCGACCTATTTATAGGTCATCATCAGGCATGTTCCATAAAAACACAAACTAAGTTTCTTCAATTGTGTTGTCCTAATATGGATCCATATTATGCAGCTGGTAGAGGGCCGTGCCATATCTCAGGCGGTTAGTCGCTGGTTTCCCACTGCGGCGGCCCGGGTTCGAGCCCAAGTCAAGTCATACGGGATTTGTGGTGGACAAAGTGACACGGGGGCACGTTTTTTCCGAGTACTTCGGTTTTCCCTCCCAATCTTAATTCCATCAATTGCTCCACAGTCACCCTCACCTATCATCTGGGGCTGGTACAATAGGCCAGTAGTGGCCGCAGTACCAAGTGAACTCAGTCTCATCCAACTAAGAACAATAATAATAAAAAAGCAGTTGGTAGTTGCTATTATCTAGCGAATATATCTTTGGATAATGCAGACAAATGTGTATTCAACTTCTTGATGTTACATGGTTGTTATTAATGGTGAAAACTTACTACATTAGGGATTTTTTTAATTGCTAGTGGGGTGGGACTAAGTCCCTTGTACTGCGGCCACTTCTGGCCTATTGTACCAGCCCCAGATGATAGGTGAGGGTGATTGTGGAGCAATTGGTGGAATGAAGATTGGCATGGGAAACCGAAGTACTCGGAGAAAACCTGCCCCAGCGCCATTTTGTCCACCACAAATCCTACTTGACCATATTATGGATTAATAAAATCTATTATTCATTGCCAGCCGGTCACGGTAGCCGAGCGGTCTAAGGCATGTACTGTCTTTGCTCGCTCGGAAGCCGGGATCGCGGGTTCGACTCCCACACAAGGCATGGGTGTTTGGTATGCTTGTGTTGTCATGTGTTTAGGCAGAGGCGTTGCGACGAGCTGATCACTCCTCCAAGGAGTCCTAACGTCTGTAAAATGACAATGAAACTGAAAATCAGAGGCCAGGGCCCAAGGTGGTGTAGATCCAGTAAAAAAAAAATTAGTAACATTAAAAACTGGTACAGAAGTTAAGAGTTGCGTTTAACAGCTAAAATGAGTTTGTAAATTGCACAATCACGTCGAAATAACTGTTTAGTGCTAACTAGATTTCTATAGAAATGACCGTGGAATTATACTGGGACTAAACGCACTTTTGCTTTCGTCTTGGGACCGTAGTAATTTGTGGATCTCGTGTCGATGCGCTGTGTGGGGGGGCCCACTTTTATCTGCTGTAGCTTGTTTTGGCTAGTTATACGCCTATTTTCCGTGTGTACGCTCTACACGCGGTAACGTACTTGGTTGAGGCACTAAGCTACAAGCCGGAAGGTCGCGGGTTCAAGTCCCGATGAGGTCATTTGACCTTTTTTAATTTACCTAATCCTTCCAGCCGCACTTGGGCCCTGTGGTCGACTCAGCCTCTAACAGAAATGAGTACTAGCAATTAAATAAATAATTTTTCTGGGGAGTAAAGCGCGGCCGGCGCGTAAGGCTGACAAACTTACCGCCATCTTTGAGCCGATTGTCTAGATAATGTGGGAACCCTCAACATCTCACAACCCTATGGGCCTTCATGGCCTGTTACAGGGATAGCTTAACCTTTTACTTTTACGCTGTAAGATCGATTTTTGGATTTAAGATCAACTGGGTAGGCTTTTCCCTGAAGACGGAGGCAAAGTCCAGTCTCCATAACGTTGTTCTGCACGTAGATGAAAACAGGACGATAAATAATGGCCAAAAAGTCAATAAGATGCCATCGCCACGAAATTGTATATCTCATAGTGGGTTGCATTTTAACTTGAGGGTTGGACACTCGGTTGGGTTCCCTGTCACTTTGGACGGTCTTCGCGTTTCTTTTCCTTAGTCTCTCTGGGAAAAAAAATAATATGCTAGATCCTTAAAAGAGGTCACGACTGATTAATTCCGGGGCACGCGGAAGCGTAGTTGGTTGAGGCACTATGCCACAGGCTGGAAGATAGCGGGCTCGAGTCCCGATGTGGATTTTCTTCAATTTCCTCTGCCTTCCAGCCGCACTATGGCCCTAGGGTCGACACAGTCTCTAAGAGAAATGAGTACCATGAATCTTCCTGGGGGTGTAAGTACGGCCGGCGCATAAGGCTGACAACATTACCGCCGTCTGTGAGCCGATTACCTTGAGAAAATGTGGGAGTCTCGATGTCTCACAAGCCTATGGGCCTCCACGGCCTGTTATAGGGATATCTTTACTTTAGCGTACCCGATTAATTCCACCTCCTGTCTAGTTCACCATTCACAATGATACATCTTGAATTATGTCAATAATACACTAAAAATAATCAAAATCTAAAATTTAGGCTTATGTAACCTCTTACAAATCCGGAGCGACAGCAGTTGCCTAATGACATACGGTATAAACATTTCAACTGTCTGGTCGTCAAACAGGCGGAACGTTCAACCAAATACGACTTTATGCAGAAAAGTAAAACCGTCCACATCGTCATCATCTTTCTAAGGAGCTTACACTGTCCAATGGGTCCTTCGTAAGATGTCTTCATGTTTACGGTTACACCTTCAAATGGCATTACGTCACTCTGCGCAAACCATTATGTCAATGTGAATGTGTTAGTTCTGACATGGCACGTTAGAGGCGCGCGCACCTGTAAGTGCACGCACACACTTGGTGCAAGGCAAGGGGAAAATTATCCCCGAGCTTAATTAATAAAGCACAACACCGTAAAGACGATAAGCCGTGATTTCTCAGTCGGTATGGCGACCGGCTACGGGCTGGACGGACAGGGTTCAATTCCCAGCAGGGGCAGGTCATTGTTCTCTTCTTCACAGAGTCCAGACCGGCTCGGGGGCCCACTCAGTCTCTTCTCCAATGGGTACCGGAGGCTCTTCCCACGGGGGTAAAGCGGCTGGGACGTGAAGCTGACCACTGGCCTCCATCTAGTGTTGAGGTCAAACGCTGGAGCTATATCTCAGCTCTCCTATTCATCTTCATGGCGTGGTGCTGAATTAATTAAGCACACGAACAATTTTACTTTTACCGTGAAGACGTGTGGGGGTGTGGAGGTATAATTCCACCATTCTTGACCTTGGCGCTATCAACTTCACACCCTGGCCGCGTTACCCCGCCGCTGGGGAAACAGCCCCAGTACCCACTGGATAAGAGACTGGGTGGGTCCCACAGAGGGTCATAACGCCGTGGAGAAGAGAACAATTTCTTTCCCCTGCCGTGAATCGAACCCCGGCCATCCATCCAGTGGTCCATTGCTATCCCGGACCCTTCGACACGGGTGACTTATCACTAAAAGTTGCGAGGCACTTCTGATTTTCATCCATATCGGTCCGCAGAAGAGGTCATCATGCTTAAGGACAGTAATCAACTTCTTCACGCATATCATGAAGGTTAATCAAACTTTATACACAAACTTTAAATAACGTGACATGTAGACCAATTTCCAAGTAACAGCTGTGTACACAGGCGACAGTAAAGACCCGGGACACTTCGGGAACCTAGAGGAAGTGGAATGTGAGCCGTTGGAAGCCGCTATCAAGCTACGGCTAGTGAGTGTTCTATAGTTAGAGTGATCTATGG